CCCCCGAGTTAGGTGCCCCCCACCAGAGACAATGAGCACCCTTCATCCCTCCCAGCCTGGTGCTGGCTGCAGCACCTCTTATTGGGTCCCAAATACTGCATCCTCCTCCCCTGGGATGCTGCGGGCTCCTGAGCTAATCTCATAATGAAAATAACATACAACTGCCTTGTATGAAATTATTTTCATAACCTGAGTCCCGAAGAAACTATCGAGCACGGTCAGGGAAATGCCACACGGGAGAAACGGAGGCAGCATTTCCCTCCTGTACCCATGAGGTTCTGTGGAGTGGAGCAGCCAGGGGCTAAGAGGATGTCCTGTAGACTGGGGGCTCAAGGTAATGAATAATAAAAAAATAAAAGCAATCAAGAAATAATTGCATGGATTCAGCAGCGTGAGGCCCTCTGGACCCCTCCTTTCCCCCTTGGGTGCTGGGGGATCTCCCATGTCTTCTGGGCTCCAGGTAGCAGAGCGTGCAAACCCAAATGCTGCTGTGCTCAGGTTATAATCCTATTTTGGTTTATAACTAAAGGGAAAAAAAAGAAAAAAACCCAAGTAAACATTACCCCTCTTGTTAAGATTTCTAACAAAGCAAGGAAGCCTGAGTTTTTGGCTTCAGTGCATCTCTGACATGCAGCTCCTCCATGGAGAAACTTTCTACATCTTCCTCCGGCAGCTTGCAGGGCTCTGCCTGCGCTTTTCGGGGCTGCTCCTGCCTCTGCAGCCGTGGGACGAGGCACTCGAGGCAGGCGCAGGAGCCCGGCTCCTTTGTGTACCGCTGCTTCACCCTTGCGTTGTTGGATTTGCATTTGAAGCTGCTATTAACCACCAGGGTAACGAGGAGCCTGGGTAAAATTTGGAATAGCGAAAGAGGATGAAAGTAACCCAAAGAAAGGCTGTGAATGTGCTGATTACGCCTGGCTGGGAAATGCTGAGTCTGGGGCTGATGCCGCTTCCCGGGAGCGAGGCAGTGCTGTACCAACACAATTCCCCATCAGCAAAACGTTCAGGCCGGGAGATATTTTAGGGCTGGGAGAGCTGCAACTCGGGCAAGACGAATGGGGGGAAAAGCCAACTGCATTCTTTGCCTGAGCACCAGCACATGCCTGGGGCCGGAGAGGTGCAAGGACACGGGGAACGGGGCATGGGAGGAGTGGAAATCTCTCCAGAGAGCTAGAGGACATCGTGAGATAACATATGGTCACTTCTGTGGCGCTGATGCGATCGTTTCACCCCAAGGCTCCTGTCTTAAAGCCAGCAGAGAGGGTTAGATGCTGGGGTGCTGTGCCCCAATCCCCACCATGGTGGTCCTGACTCTCACCCATTGCTAACACTTCAGAGAAAGGCAAATTAAAAAAAGCTCTAGTTGTCATCTAGAAGACACTCGGGCAATACCTTTGGCCTGTCCTCTGCAAGAAGCGGCTCGTCTCTGCAGCGTAGCAGCTGGGTGGTTACTGCCTCTCACCATCTCTGTGCCAAAGGGGAGATGGGTTTCCTGAGGTTAGCTTGAAGGACACAGAGCCATGTGCAGACCATCCGCTTCACAGAGCCTTTCTAGCTCCTGTGCCGTCCATCCCTCCCCTTTCATGTGCAGAAGGGGAGCACAAAGGACGGCAGGAGGCAGCAGAAAGGTGTGGGCTGCTGCTGAGCCATCACCGGGACCCGGCACTGTGGGTCCAGGACCACGTACACCCACACCTACCACTGCGTCAACACGGACAGCAGAAACCTAAACCCCATCGCTGTGCAGGGGACGATGTCTGAAGGAAACCTGCATCATATTTCAGTTTTCTTTAATCAAAGGGCTGCACTAAGTCGACCTGGCATAAATTGATAGCTCAGAGGACTTGCCCTGAAGTAATCTGCATGCATATTTCATCGAGTCACCTTTAAAACTGCTGAGCTGGCAGTGCTGGCCTGGCCAAGGGGGCACCCACATTTTGGGCCCCTTTGCTGCGAGGACCAGTGCCCGTGGCATCCCCTGAGCCACAGGAGAAAGGCAGCACAGCCCAGGTGTATCTCAGGGGACATTGCCTGTGCAATGACCGCAGGGAAGCCTGGCTGCTGGGATTGTGTTTCCCCCAGGGGCATTTTGCGGCGTTATCCCCAGAGCTACAGAAACCTTCTGTTAGAGAATTACAGCTTGGCCCAATTTACAATACTGTCACCCCAAAATAAGTCACATTTTTTGCTAGAAACCATTTGAATTGCTGTCATCCCCACCCAAACGAGGGCACGTTGGCTGTTTTCCCCTTCCCGCAGCACAACCGAGTTCAAGGCGGGTGGGTGAGGCCGCAGCATCCCCAGCAGCATCCCCAGCTCCCGTCCCAGCGCCAAGGACCCGGGAACCAGCAGCTCTGTGTGGCAGCACCTGCCCCAGGGCTCCCACCAGCAGCCACCCCCAACGGAGCCTCTCCGGGTCGCACCAGGCAGAGCAGACCCCGCTGTTCCGTCACCAAGCGCCCTCTGGAAGAGCTTCTCAGCCTTTAACGTCCCTCATGCTTAAGGGAAGGGGGGACAGAAGACAGACAAAACCTCAGCTCTTGCTGCCTTCCCAGCCTCTCTCTGTCACACGTGGTACTGGCAAGAACGAGCAGCTACTTAAAGTTCACAGGTTTCACACAGTTCCTTCTGTTTTAATTAAATCCCACTGTCATTTTTATTTACTTAAAATTTTGCCTTCTCAGTCTGCTCGCTCAGCTCATGTTGTAACTACATAATTAGCATCAGTCATTATGCAGCTCCCCAGAGTTTTCAAAGTTGGCAGATTTTTTTTTGTTGTTTCCCCCCTCATCCATTTTAGGCTTTTAGAATCCAGTAATAATAATTCCGTGATTAAAAATATATCATTTGCTCAGAATGTTTAGTTCAGCATGGCTATCTCCTCGCGCAACCCTGGGCTCAACATTTTCCGGGTTGGTGGTGGAGAGCGTGTTCCTTCCACACCTCTGTCTCTCAGACATTCAGTGGTTAACTCCGCTGTATACTTTTATTGCCATGTTTTATTTCATTATTGCAAGTGTATTATGAAATTTAATTGGCAGGTAGGTAGTAGAGCAGATTAAAATGCATTAACATTTATTGCAAGCTCTGTTTATATGCTTCGATTTATTTCCGCTCGACTGTGGTTCACAGTAGCATGTTGTTTTTAGCACGGCAGCCTTTTAAATATGCCACTATAATGGCGCTTTGTTTATTCCCTTGACGTATATTTGAAAGACAGATTTACTTAACAGGCCTGATCTAAAATAAAACCCGCTGAATTCCAAGAAACGTGGGTAGGTTTAGGGCCA